CATGGAGGGTGAACTGGGGTCGTGACATCGCTCCCAATGCATGGACTTACAACAAGAATTACCCTAAGGCACCACACCTTATAAACCACAAGTCATGAACCACAATTTCCAAATCTTACACATATGGCACCTCGTGCCCACAATAACAATCACCTTCATACGACAAAGCCCGCGTGCTACCATATACTTTACAACCGTGATAAATATTAATTTAGATGAACGAAAGACATATTTAGACACCATAAAGCATAATAATAATCTTGAATAAAGTAAGGTATCAAATGAAGTAGTGAGTATATTTTAGAAATCAAGTAAAGTAAAATAATATACAATTTGTAGGAAATAAAGTGTACGATACGTTTAATTTAGAAATCAATAAAATTGAGTAAAAGTATCATTTTACACAAAGCAAAACATAAGTTAAAATTAACGAATTAAATATAGAATTTGTTAAAGAAAAACATGATAACAATTTTAAGTAAGGTAAATATCTAATAGGGTGATGAGTATAAATTGAGATTCCAAATATAGTGAAAATGCGATAACAATTTAGAATAATAAGGCACCGAGTGAGATAATGAGTTCTATCTTAAGAGGAACATATAATAAAGCATGCTAATAATTCTTTTATTTAAACTATTATGTTACCAACAACTCAACATAATATGATATAGTGACTCCACACAATTCAATTCACATTGACAATCAATTCACCAAGTTATAGCGGAGACACAAATTGGCATGTTAAAGCAACACAACAAATCACGTAGGATGCATGACTCACACAAGAAACAACAATCGTTCCAACACCAAGATAACAACGAATAACCATACGGATGAATGATTGAAGGAAGAACAATGACCGTTCAAATCAACAAGTTGTTCCAATATGGAATGTACAATGAAAATCACAACTGAGGTATCGCCCCGTATCACATTTCACAATTTCAATCACAATCTTTCCTTATATCACCGCGTGATCCTTACATTTAGTTTTGAAAATTATTTTTCCCGAAATAGCCTACACGCGTTTTAGCCTACATTATCTCACCACGTGGCTTCAAATAGTTCCCCTACTAGCAACACACGTATCAAGCCCACCTTATCTCACCGCATGCATATCAACCCCTAGCCTTATACCACCGCATGCGTATCAATATCACAACTCGCACCACAAGTGCCCATATGCCACAACTTGCCACAAAGTCAATGATACCAATATTTCCACAATAAATAGTTCATGACTCAACCACAATGTGTACCAGAATTTCAGCAATAACAGAATGAATGAGAATGCTCAACAAGGAAAGGTATCTCAATAATTAACACCTTCTCCTCAATGTGATAACGACTATTACAACTTCAACACCAATAACTCAACAAGATGATATTCCACGAAATAACAACTTCAATTAAAAGTGATTCAACAACTAAGAGGTAAAAAGATAATACGGTAGGCAATAACTTCAACTAAAGCATATAAGAGCAAAATAACAAGTAAGAGGTAGAACAAGTGCTAACAACGTCAAATAGAGCATGTAAGAGTAGATTAACAATGAGAGATATAATATGTTATGACAGTTCAATTAAAGGCATGAAAAGAGTCTAGATAATCTAAATCGTCCAAATACCACATATAGCCCGTGTACCCACTCGTCACCTTGCGTACACGGCCTTTACATAACACGTATAGTGCAATAAACCTAAATCCTAAAGGGGTAGTTTCCCCACCACAAAGTTAGGCAAGATACTTACCTCAAACAAGCCCAATCGATACACTAGAAGCGCCATCCCGCTCAAATAATCCTCAGAACAGCTCGAAACTAGCCAAAAGCAATTCAAAATCATTAAATAATTCCATAGGAAGCAAACCCAATAGATAAAGGTCGAATCTTTACAATTTACCCAAAGTCAACTAAAAAGTCAAACTCAAGCTCGCACTTAGGAACCCGACAAAACTCATAAAATCCAACAACTTATTCAATTACGAGTGCAACCATACTAATTTCACTCAATTTCGACTCTGAATCGGTGTTCAAAACTCAAAAATTTACGTTAGGAAAGTTTAGACAAAAACCCCCAATTTTTCTTTTGTAATCATCAATCAAATGCTAAAAACGAAGATGGAATCATGGAATATAATCAAAGCCGAGTAGAAAACACTTACCCCATAGAAGAAACTTGAAGAACATCCTTGAATTCTTCCAATCCCAAACTTTCAAGATGAGAAAAACTCCAATAATATTAAGAGCCAAAAATGCCCAGCTGTTCTGTCTCGTTTCTTATGCCAAACGATCATGAAACTCGTTTTTGATGTCTCCAATGGATTCCTCGTGAAATTTCAGTCAATTTAGGCTTTTGAATCACTCTATTTGACCTTGTAATAAAGGAGATATGTTGGTTTCAATATTTAAAAATAGTGCAGATTTTTAAATACGAATTGTGGCAATTTTGTAATTAATCTAGAAAAAAAATCTAGCAACCCAATTCTTAGTAAAATGATCATAAATTCCTCATACGGCGTCGAAACTTAATGATTTCAGTTGCTATGACTCCAAAATTATGATGCGGATATAATGGTTTAGTCGAAACATGAATCAAAGGCCGATTTGCTTAATATGGTAACCTTTATGCTCAAATCGGTATCGAAACTGAAAACAATCACCATACAGCCCAAACTTATCCAAAACTCATCGAAATTTAACCAAACTTTGTGGACATGTCCAAAATCATCATACAAACTTATTGAAATAATTAAAACCCGATTCCGAGTCTGTTTACCTAAAAGTCAAACCTTGGTCAACTCTTCCAACTTAAAGCTTCTAAAACGAGAATTATTCTTCAAAATCAATCCAGAACCACTCGAAAACCGAAACCAACAATACACGCAATTCATAATACATGATATGAAACAACCCAAAGTATCAAACATCGAATAGAATGCTAGTTGAATTGCTATTGTTGATTGAAATTGTTTGGGAGTGGGCTGCACGTTGCAAAGAAAATTGAAAGGTAATGAATTGAAATGGTAGAAAAAGGATGTATTATGATATTGACAGATGATGATATGGTGGAAATGGGTAGCGCGCCGCAACGGATTGTATAAGTTGTATTTGTTTGTGATTGTTGGATTTGCCTCGATATTTGAGATGAGTTTATAAGACTTGTTACTCTAGACTCTCTGATAGTTGGAATTTGAGTTTGGTGATATGAGTTAAATGTTTTATTTCCATTCATGTCTTTTCTGTTATTATTATTATTGCGTACGTGTTATTGTAAGTGACCCGTCTTAGCCTCGTCACTATTTCGTCGAGATTAGGCTCGGCAATTACAGAGTACACGAGGTCGATTGTGCTCATATTACACTCTGCACTTCTTGTGCAAATACCGGAGTTGGTCCCAGCAGCGCTGAGTGACATTTGCTCGGATCTAGCTATAAGTGGAGACTTGAGGTATAGCTGCACGGCGTCCACAGCCCCGAAGTCCTCTTCTATATCATCTTAGCTGTTTATTTTGATTCAGACAGTTATGTATTTTATTCAGACTATTATTTGTATTACTCTAGACGCTCATGTATTCGTGACACCAGTTCCGATATTATATTGGATTTCGTCGTTTATTAGTTTATCACCTTATTTTAGACAATTCTGTTTTATTGTTTTCATTTCATTTGGAATTATTAAAAATGGTTAATAGATATAGCTAACGTTGGCTTGCCTAGCAATTGAAATGTTAAGCGTTATCATGGTCCCGAGGGTGGGAGTTCCGGGCCGTGACATATTTTGATGAATTTTGTATCAATTGTCATTACTATAACATGTCAAGTTTAATTTTTTAGGACAGAACTCCAACAAAAGTTCCAAAATTATTTTAAAATATAATATATAAAATTAAAGTAAAATAATTAAAAATGCCAATTTACAAAAATTAATACTTCCTCCCACGTTTAACAAAGATTAATACTTTCTCCCACGTTTGTTTGGCAGTTTTTTTGAATTATTTATTAAACCTTCTAATGCAAAAAGAAATACTATTCTCTCCCACATTTTTTTTTTGTGCTGATTTTGAATTTATTTGTATACTTAATATTTTTTTTTTACACAAAAACAAGAAAAAATGAAGAAAACAATAAATTACTCAAAAATTTAAGCCCAAGACTGATGTCTTTCAAAATGTGGGCTTGGAACAACAATTCTAACCTACCCCATAATTGATTCTTATCCACGTTCTTCTATGCAAATAATTATTTATGATTTTTTATTTCAAATATTCATATTAAGCCAAGTGGCAACCTAATAATATGTTTGGCATTGCTCAAGATAATTGGCAATATTAGGATAATATAAATAAACAATATAATTGTGAAATGCTTAATTTCTAGAATTAATTTGATTAATTTTGCTAACATGATTGTGAAATGCTTAATTTCTAATTACATTAGACGTGATTTTTTTTAAATGATTTTTTGTTGCTAAGTTATGTGGAAGTTGGATGTAATTTTCTAACCATTAATATGAAAATTTGCAAATTATTCAAGCGGTAAAATGCCTTAAAAAGTTAATTTAATATTTAATGATATACAAATAAAATTGTGCACCATAGTAAGGTTTTTTGGTCGGCCAAAATATTCTCCAAAGGATATATGTCTATCAAAATAGACAATTTTTTAACCTATTAATTATATTCATACCGATCTGCTTTTATATTGTTGCACCAATATTTATCAGTTGACGGATTTATATAATAATATTATCTATTATTTCATGAAGAAAGCAAAAAGATGATAAATATTTTTATTGCAAACTTTATCCTGAATTTCTTCAAGTACTTAAATAATAAAATTATAATTCAAGAAAAAATAATAGATCCAGTGCACTTACATATTCATAAAATAATATCTTTTATATACTTTTTTGTGTGTATAGTATTTTTCCAGTAATATTTTTTATGAAAAATTATACTTAATGTTGTGGGTATAAATAAAAAGAACTTATGTAAATTGACCGATTCTAACGCCGTTGATAAACGTCCACCCGAAACTAGGAAGTCTGCCTTTGAGTATGTTATAAGGCAAACTTGCTTTCATCGCCGGAAAATAACGAGAGTCTCAAAGATGGCGGCGCCGTCATGGATCCAATCGCTATTGAATCCTCGGAAGAACGTGCTGGCCTCTATGCACATGAAATGCGTCTCCACTCGCCTTCGCAGATATGGTTAGCCTTCTTTTGCTCTCTGCGATTTGCTTTAAATCTACGTGTATTTATCTATTCGCCGTTTGTATTTAGGATTGAGATTTGATGATTTGTTCGATCCAATGGAGGATATGGACATAAAGGAGGCTCTAAAACGCCTCCCTCGTGAAGTTGTGGACGCTCGACACCAGCGTCTTCTCCGTGCTATGGATCTCTCCATGAAGCATCAATACCTCCCCGACGATCTTCAGGTTTGAAATGTGTTCCTAATTGTTAATAATTTGTTATTTGATTCGAGTTGACGAAAGAAATATATCTTCAGTGTTATTAGAAGTCGTGCTTCTGATGGAGGGACATTTTCTGGAAAAATTTACACTTTATATACTAGGCAGGCCTTTGAGTTGAAGTTTACTGAAAAAAGAGTATTGAAGTTGAACTTGCAAAGAAGTGTAAATTTGTTGTTTGGAGCAAAAATTACTAACAAAATATGGATTTTAACCCATATTCCTTTTATGTTACATGAACTGTATAGAAAAAGCTCACAGCTTATGTCGTGTCTGAGTTACAAATAAGTAAACTCTTCTCACATTCAGTATCTTGTGTTAGAAAGGGAGAAGCAAAAGTAAGCAGTACCCTTTCTAAACATGACAACTTCCTGTTTCTTTTGAAATGACACCAACTTTGGCAACCGGTTTTGTCTCTTCTCCTTTTATTTATTTATATTTGTCAGGTTGATCCATATGGGTTATTCGGATTTATCTCCTTCATCTTACCGCTTGCACATCGCGGATCAACTCTTATTCCTATCTTTTAACTTTCATACAGATCAACTATATCGTGTAGCCAGAGCATACGTAACAAAGGTCTTTACCTATTAGACACTTCAATCTCAGATGATGTGTGCCTATAAAACCACTCATCACTAACCAGTAAAAAAAAACACATGCACTTCATTCGCTTAACATGGCAGAAATAACGAATGTAAAATAGCCATGTGGCTTTGGAGTCTAGCTAATTAATAAAAACTTTTAAGGAAAAAAGAAAAGATAAAATGATTGTCAAAACTCCCGCCGCCGGCAGCTCCCACCCCCACCCTTCATCTTCTTCCTTAGGAATTAGGATCTCCTCCTTTCTTTTGGAAGAACTCCCCCACCCCCAAACACTACTTCATGTAGTGTCTCCGTAACTCCCTCCCCCTATCCATCTTCTTTTTTGAACCTCCATATTCGCTGGAAGTTCAACACTAACCATATGGAGTGTCGTGAAATGTCAAGAAACAACACATTTGGGGAATACAGTTGGCATCTTGTAATTTGCCAAAGAAAAATTGCGAAGATTAGTTTAGAGCATGAAGATCAGGTGCCAATCTCGTGTATCAATGGCTTTCTCGTAATCTCAATTTGACTTAATTTTCTTGGAATGTCCCACTAAATCGAATCAAAGATGACCATTTGACAACAACTTAGAATAGGAACTGCCAAATTCGATCTCAAGATATCGGTCAGAGTCATGAGGGTATGGCGTCAAAATTACTTACTCCCTCCGTCCCAATTTATGTGGCACCAGCCACCATTTGACTTGGCATGTTGTTTAAGAAAAAAATGAAAACTTTTGAAATTTGTGGTCTAAAATAAGCCTTAGACATTTGTGTTGTCGTAAATCACTCGTTAAGAGTAAAATGAAAATTTCGAAGTTAAATTGTTTCTAATTGTGGAAAGATGACCTTTCTTTGGGACAAACTAAAAAGGAAAGAATTTTTCACCTAAATTGGGATGGAGGAAGTATAATTTTTACGGTTTCACAAAATAACTAGCAGAGGTTAATATATGTACTAGGGGGTTATCTCTTCATGAGTGAAGCCATGCGTTTTAGAGAAGTTTGCGCTTCAAATAATGGTGCACGAAGTGATTCCGGTGAGAATTAGTCAATTCTTTTAGTTTCAGCTTTGAGGAGTTTAATATTGACATTATTGTATATGTAATGCTGAAACTAGTTATTTTAATTGCAATGTATTATTTTACTAAATTCATAGATATTTGATAATTTTGAGTGTCACGTCAATTGTGCGCCTCAATTCAAAGAAGTGTGCACTTCTAGCTTTTCGTTTCAATTTCACGAACCTGGTTGTTTTTGCGCTTTTCGTTTTTAAACACCACGACAAATACATGGTATGAACATATCACACTATTTACTCTTTTCGGATAAAGTATATGTCGTTTCAAATATAAATTATGTTGATGATAGTGTTCATACAACCATATATTAACTCTTATGTTTCACATATTTTTTTTTCTTCGTAATTATGAGTTCACATATCTACTCATTGATTTTATCTATTAGAATTGACATCTGGAATTAAGGCAAACTATTACATTTAATAACTTATGACACATGATTAATAATATAAATGGAGAATACATAGTTTTCTCTCTCACCATGGGGTCCAATGAAACAATCTTTCTGCCTTTTTAAAGGTAGGGGTAAGCTTTGCGTACACACTACCCTCCCCATGCCCCACTTGTGGGAATACACAAGGTTTGTTGTTGTTATTGGTGGTGGTGGTGGTGTTGAAACTAGCATGTGAATGATGTCTATAACATTATACAACATAAATAAGATGCTCAAATAGTCATAGAACAAATAAAACATGCAACAAGTAAGGCATGTAACAAAGAAGGCATAAAAAGGCTAAACAAACTACCCCAAGCATGGGTAAATCTTGGCATCCGTATATACGCTCGTCACCTTGCATATACGTTACCCCAAATAAATAGCACATAGCAACAATATCATTTTTAGGAAAAATTCTCTATATCGAAGCCAACCAAGGTACTTACCTCTATCCTAGACTAGCTCTATTCCTCAAAATCCGTCTTTTCCGTCTCTAACTCCATCAAACAAGCCCGATCTAGCCCAAAGAATGCTCCACAATATCACGCCAAGTCATAGGACTCAATTCCATAAGCAAAAGATAGGCTTAGGTCAAAGTCAACAAAAGTCGAATCCAAGCCCACATGATCAGATTCCGAAACCAGAGTCAGGAACTAGAGTCAAATTCCGTTAACCCATAACCTCGCGAGTCCAAATATGTTATTAGATTCTCAATCCTAGTCCAAATCATATTCAAATCCTCAAAAGTACTTTTTGATGAAGTATAAATCCTCAAAAGTACTTTCTTAACATTCAAGTAAGAAATTCTCATTTTGTGCTTGAATCCATGTTTAAATGACAGATCTTAGGTTAAATTCATGAAATAAATTCAAATAAGTTCGAATCAGTTACCCCAAGCTCCAAAATGGTGAAAAATAGCATAAAAATCACCAAAACTCCGTATTTATACAATCTTAAGCTTTTGCAGTGCTGGCCTCACTCTAGTTTGTAGAAGGCTGTGCTTTAGACTACACTTCAGTTGAATGAGGGAGTTATGTAAATGTCAAAATGTCGAACGGTTTGAATCACTGAGAACTAGACTTAAAGGGTTACAACTTTCATTTTTGGATTATCCCCAAATTCATTATAGATTGGGAGATATACGTTCCCGAAGTCGGACCAAAAGCTCTCCCGTGTTGCGGATTACTGTGCGGTCTGCACTTCCCCAGTGCTGGCCGCGCTATGGTCCACACTAGGACTTGCAATAGCTACAAAAATTTGTTCCAAATGCGCCAAACACCTCCGAGCCCCTCGGGTCCTAATCCAATCATTTCAACAAGTCCATTGACACTATACAGACATATCCATGGTCTCGAAACACGAAACGAAGCGCATCAACTCAAATCAAGGACCAAAATGAACTTAATGGACTTCTAAGTCTCAAGTTAGCATGCAAGTGTACCAAACCGCTCCCGAGCCCTTCAGGACCCGAACCACCAATATCCGCAAGTCATAAAGCACCAAATGAACCTATAGGAAGTCTCAAATCAAGGAGCGAGGTGCTAGAACTCAAACCAGCCGGTTGGATTGTTACACTATTATCAATCTAGCAATGATAAGTTTATCTCACCTCTATTAGTCACTTAGACGATAGAGGCGATTGCCTATGCCATGTGTGTTCGACATACCTTTCACACTTGGAATTTATGTTTTAGACATAAAAATGATCATTTTTACATGAATATGCAAGAATGGAGAATTAAGTGTCAACTTACATTAACTTCAATAATGTAGGTTTACATGAACATGAGTGGAAAAAGTTAAAATATGAATGGATTAGTATCTTCTCGAACCCAACGACTTGACATGTCTTTATAAGCATCACATGCTATGGGTCTCAGTTCTCATTGCAGTTCTCTACCATATGATGCACAGAGATGTATTTCATGATCACTTGTATATGTACAATATTTCTTTAACAAAATTATACTTAGTGTTAGTATGTTTCATCTTCTCATGGTACTTGGGATCCATTGTGTAGGCTATTGCAGCCTGACTATCACGTTTGTGGTTTTTTTTAACATTTGATGGTTACTGATTCAATAGTACTATCAAACTCATCTAAGTATACCAGATATAAGTTTAAGCCAAACAGCTACTTGTATAGTTGCTAAAAGTGCTACAAATTCAGCTTCCATTGTGGATTAGGCTATGCATGATTGCTTCTTGCTACTCCATGATGTGACACCATTTTTTTATCAAGAATACATATCTAGAGATTGATTTTCTTTCATCTAAATCTCCTGTCCAATCAGTAGAGGTGTAACCTTTGAGTTGTAGATCTTTTTCTTGGTAACACAAGGAATAGTCGGTGTGCCTTTGAATACCTCGGTATCCTTTTAGCTTCTTTCTAGTATTGTTTTCCTGAGTTATATTGATATCTGCTAGCCTAATAACATAACATATATTCAGAATAGCACACAGCATGATATGCATTAGATTACCGGTTGCACTAGTCTAAAGAACTCCTTTTTATTTGGTCCTGCTATTGTGAAGTATGTGGACATATCCTATGGGCTGAAGCTTTGGCTCTGGAAATGGAAGTGTTTATGAGTTGCAATCTTGCGAATCACCATATAAAATCATTCAATAGTCTTCTTAATTATGCGGCAAGGTTATCGGCAAAACCACCATCTGTACGATGAATCATGCAAAATTCTTGTCATTTCTGTCTATTTCTAACTTCATTCAAAGAAGACAGAGTCTGAAGAATGAAATCGCATACCGAGGGGGAACGTTTCTCTCCTTTATCCTTAGGGATTAGATACAAATAAACCCTATGTTCTGATGCCAATGAAGGAGAAAACAGGAACACACAATATATGTTCTAATCTGCATTCGTTCTTGGTTCTTTTGAAATGGAAAATATTTTTTTGAATGGGTGTATTCGTACTTCTTTCACTAGCCAATATTACAATCACATGTATTTGAATATGAACTGTATAGAAAAGGTTCATAGTCTGTCACACATGCGTTACAGATAGATAAAAATATTTGAAATCTGCTTACAAAGAACAAAGACCGGAAGATTTTCAATTTCTTTTGCTGGAAGAAAGAGAAGCAAAAATAGCTAATAATAAATACCCGGTGAAATGATGGAGGCGCACACAAGTTGGTTGGGACACCATCGTTAAAAATATCGCTAAAACGAAAAGAAAAAGCAATATCCTTTATAAACAAGATAACTTGTTGTCTACTTGAACTGTCACTACCATTGGCAACCAATTGTGTCTCTTCTCCTTTTCTTTCATTTTAATTTAATTTTTCTTTTCAAGTTCACCCACATGGGTGACCTGGATTTATTTCCTTCAGAAATTGTATGGTGGCATGAACTTCACTTTAACAAAAAAAGTTCGTGAAAGTTGAAGATTTATGAGTCGAAACAAGTATTTCACTTGAAATACATCTTTATATTTCATATTTTGCTTAAGGTTCAAAATAATGTTTTACTTGAAACCCAGTGTTCATGGCTAAACTAGAATACTGAAATAGTGTTCATCCCCAAAGGGGCTCTAGGTGATCCTACTGAGAAATCGTTAACTTCTTTGAATCTGAGTCGAAAAGATTAGAGAAAAGAGAAAAGGAATGAATGAAATAAGGCCTTTTTTCTATTTGATAGTAGGACCTCCTATACTTGCAGCTTCATTGTTCTTTTTGTTTAGTTTGTAATGTATCTTCCATTTGTGTTTTTCATTTCCAAAATACTAGATGTCTTAATATCATGCATGTGGCTATTGTCTTTGTATATGTCCTGATATAGTTTATGATTCCTGGGTATTTTATATGTACAGGCAAAGCAGACACCATTTAGGAGTTATTTACATGACATGATATCTCTGGTGAGTTCATGTTTCTAACTGGGTGTAGCTAGAGTTATTTGATACTCTTTGATTTCCTTCACAAATGTAGAGTTGATTAGAGAAGCATTTGGCAATTTTGAACTTCATTTTTCTCTTTTTTGGGGATGAGGTCTGTTTTCTGAAGTCCACAGTTCCATATACTATTTCCAATTTTTGTAGCAAGGAGCTACTTGAGAAAGAAAACAATAAATCAAATAATCAAGCAGCACACTGAGAGTTGTTCTTTCCAATTCACTTCCACCACCTTATACAAGTAGCTGCCTCAAGGCAATTTGATAACGCCTGATATTGTCACCTGCTCTGCATAGTAGAAAAAGAATCCTACATCTAATTGATACTCATGTACTTGATATTGGCCTGTAAGCTCCTTTGTTCCTCTCCATCCACCGGACATGGTGTTGGTAATTAAGTTCTGATAAGGCTATTGCTTTCTATGTACTGTGCTTTGTGGCTTTCCGTATTCAAGATGTAGATGAAAGTTTCCAATGTGGGAGTTTAAAGATACTAGTTAAACTATAAACCGTAAACATCAAACTGCATCCTGTTCAAATATCAAGTCTTGTATACATTGGATGTAAGGTGAAACCGGACTTTTGAAATGCAATAGGACAGTAATTTTTGTTTGTTCAAGCTTTGCAGATACTTGACCATTTTTAGCTACTTCCAAGAAGAATGTTTAGTTTAATTTTGAGAAACACCAACAAAACCCCCCCCCCCCCCCCCCGCCCACCACAAACCAACCCAAGATGAAAACAGATACTCCTTTAATTTTATTACTGATGAAGTCAGAAAATCTTCTGCCCCTGAATATGTTTAAAACTTGCCATTGTAATAGTTATTTGAGAATTTAGTTAATATAAAGGGAACTACCTTAAATTTCCTTCTCTGCTAACGCCTTGTCTGAAATTTGCCTTTCTGAAGATAAAGAAGGAGAAGGCAGAACGTGAAGCTTTGGGAGCGATGCCTCTTTATCAACGCACTATTCCCTGATCTGCCACCATCCCTTTGCTTGCCATTTGATTTATGCTGGTAATAATTGGAGCCTTCGTTGGAGAAAAGGTCATCTGGATGTTATTTTGTTGTATTGCGTGGAGGAACATATTGCTTACGCGTGGCTTGTACGGAGCCAGGCCATAGTCTTTGCTCACTAATAAATTTTCTTCTCAACTGCAAAGTTCTGAGGGGAAACTTTTCGAATTCTTTTGGATTTGGCTGCATTAAAAAAGCAGTTGCATGGTGGGAGATATTTATTCACCATGGTATGTCATATTTCTTTTTATATATCAGGTTTATGAGCTTTTCAGATGGCTTGTGAATCAAGTTCCTGGGTGTCTTAAGTCTGCCCAGCAGCAATGTTTTGTGTAAATTTTGTTTCAACACCAGTATCTGATTAGGAAAATTGTCAAATTTATATTGATGTCCATGGTTATTATTGGTATTTGATATTCTGAGCTTTGAATTCCTTCTGCTGCGGTTATGAGGTAGAATCTTGTGCTGTTACAGTGGATTAGCTGTAATCTCTAAGCAAACCTTGCATTCAACAGTGTCATTTTCATCTTGCTGTTGATCTTGGATAGAAGGTTTATCATCATTTGACTGTTCTAGTTTCTTGCAATCTGCTTCCTCCTAATTCCTATGCACTGTCAGGCCCCTGAATTGTCCATAAAGGAATATTAAGCTGAATCTGATTTGTCAATAAAGCAAGATTAAGCTGAATGGCAGGAATATTTGGATCATCCATATTTCAGAACAAAAACCTTTTTCGACGTTTTCTACATGTTCCAGTAAATCCATCAAAAGATGGGATTTTTGAATCTGTCCAAGTATTTTGGACAAAATACAGATAACAATTGCATCGTATTTTTAGCAGTCTTCCTTTCCAACTCGATAAGCAATCTCTATACTGCAATTCCTCCTCCAATTGAGAATGGAAATTTCAGCACCAAATTCACCTACAGTATGCTAATAACTAATGAAAATATGGTTAATATTGACTTGGGCTGCACAGGGAAAATCAAAAGTCTAAATAAGATGATAGTTTGTCATAAATAACACCTAACCAACGTAACATCACAAATAACACCTACAATAAGGAACAAGAAGACAGCACACACATCTTTTTTGGGACCAACTAAGGAATATAGGAGACACCCAGCCCCACAGCCCTCCTACTAACTTAACAACATCCCAGAATGAGTTAAAAAACTTAGACCTTTAACTGGCAATACCTAATTCCTTTCATCTTGTGGCATACTTGGTTGACAAGAAATAATAATGTCGTTAGTTTTTTAAATTTATTCAAAAGGTCACCATGACAAAAATTCTGTCCAAATCCTGGGTAAAAGTTTGGATAGGGCTTTTATCTTCACAGCTACAGTATAGGATCTATCATAGAGGAAGAAAGTGTAGTGGACAAAAAGTTGAGTTAGCATATACTGTACTCCAAAAACTATACATAAAGAAACTTCCTTCTAGTTTTGATTCTGAAAGTGATAAGTTGATGTCTGACTGTCTTCATTGAAGCTTTCACTTTCTCTGGTAAAGTATTAGCATCCATGAAGCTAGTGGACGGATAGCCCTTAATCCGAGATCTCTTTTTAACAAAAAATAGTTGGATTTGCCAGCCTTAGCAGAAGAAGACTGTTGTATAGTAGTAGGTTTGAGAACTGGTTCAAACCATCTCAAATAAAAGGTCAATTCAATTGTTATAGTAAGATTTTTTTTACGCCCTTCATTGAAGCATTATTCAATGACGGTAGGCAAGACACTTTACTATGGACACCCCAATTAGCAGGGGCATTTGCTATTGCTACGATTCTTTATGCTCACAATCTGTTTAACCACTTGTCTGATTTGTCAAGGTGTAACAGACTAACTGTTTATGATGTTTATAAGGATCTGAGAGACTGATTCTACCCTAATATTCTTTTCAAAACACTAAGTTATTCCTACTAGGATGGATTTTGCCTCTGCCATATTGTTAGAGCATATCCCAAAAAATGAGAGAATGCCATAATCATCTCTCCTTGTTGGTCTCTCAAGCATCCTCCTCCTCCAGCAGGTCCTGGATTGCCCTTGCTGTGTTGAGCTTGACTTGGTTATCACGTGGTGTCAACCATTTCACAAGTATAATCTTCAGTCTAGGCTTGAAATAATTGTGTACCTGCACAAGAAAATTAGATTGAATAAGATAAAACAGCCTTGTGATGGAAATCCTTTCTCTACCATATAGGATTCATGAAGAGTGCCTAATATGTTATATTTGTATTCAATGTAGCGGCGGGGCGGCTTTGTGTAGAGGTTGTTACAAGGGATCTCCCAACAAAATATATATATATATAT